CCCGAGCCAGCGGGGTGGGGCGAGCGGCTGCTGAGCCGGGAGACCGAGGGAGAAGAGGGAAAGAGCGAGGGGCCGCCTCCTGCCCCTCCTGTGCCCGGGCATCCTCGCACCTCGCCCTGCCCTCTGCAAATAGGCCCTGCTAGTGTAGCTGCTGCTTTTCACGTGCCCTTCATTGTGATACTTCGCATTATTATTTGCTCAAGGGATAGCAGTAGAGTTCACTTCAGCTCACAGCGACTTCTCAGGTACCCCGGTTTCAGATACTCTGTGTATACAGGTGTAGTCGTTCAATTGAAACCTCCCTGCACCAAAGCAGTCTCTCTTCCACTTTTCCAGTTGAAAAGGTTAGGGACATGCCTCTGGACACAGCTGAGTGTTACCCTTTTCCACTCCCACTCACTTAGAAAAACATAAGCCTGTAAGAACATGGACTTAGGCAGAACATGTGGCAGAGAAGGGAAGATCATGGCTACAGGAGTCTCTGTCAAGAGAAATCTCCTCCTTTAGAAACAGAATTGTCGACTGAAATTGGCCTGCTACAGATGACAATCAGTTACAGATACAGCAGCACTAAACCTTCAAGAAGTCACAAGAAAGAAATGAAATATACTGTAAAGCTTTTGCACCGATGCAGCACATCCAGGGAAGTACAGTTGGTGATGCATCTGAGGACAGTTTTGTAGATACGGATTTTCAAATCATAAGCAAATGGCATTAGATGGTTAGGGAAGAAAACCAGGCCAGTTACTGGAATTACAGCTCTATTAGAATCTCAGTATCAGTTTGGAATATTGTTGAAATCCCCTCAAAGAAATCCCACTTTATTCCCCATTGCAGCTGAGGAGGAAGACATAAATGAAGAAGTTGCCAGCTGTTCCTTAGCTAGTCCTTTGCTGCACATGCAGAGAGCTACAAGCTTTTGCATACAACCTATGACCAAAAAAAACCCACAAAAGTTCTGTCCAGTACTATTTTCGGTCTGCATTAAGTGAACTTATTCTTCTCCTTACAGGAGTTCTTTAAGTTCATTACTGAAGATTTTGTGCAGAGTTCCCTGCTATGATCTCAAGTTCCTTCCAAAAGCAAAACAGGCACAAGCAGAGCCGTTCTTGTTTTCTTCACCAATGCAAAGACCAGCATTATTTAAGTGCAGCAAGCAAAGATAAATTGTCTTATATGTGAGTAACAGACCCAAAACAAATCACACTTACAGAAAAAGATACTTCTGTCTTTCGCTCTTGATGTGACTGCATATGGACTGTACTACTGATAATTCCTAGATAGTCATACTTCTACAGAAGATCATATGTATTCAAATATCTGCTTTGGTAGAGCTTTGTCTTGAGAAAGAACTCTATTTGTGAATACTTGAAAATACTCTCAGGTAACTACTCCAGAGCTGTCTGGACTGAAGATATTTATTTTTGAAGTCAGAGAAGCTATACAGGTGCTGAAGTCCAAGTGTGGTTTGAGCTGAAGGTTCTAAGCTGGCCAACTGGTAACACAGAGATGGAGATTCATTGAGATTCTCCCTGTGAGAGTGGTCACTTCTCCCTCTCTCTCTTCCAGGCAAAGCCAGGTATAACCATAGCAGAGGTCTGAAGGGCTTCGCTTGACCTCAGCAAAGAAAATGATGCCTAGAGACACTCAGGCAGCAGCCTTCCTATTGAGACAGTTTCCTTATTCTTCACCTTTTCTTACCACTAGCAAAATTTTCTCTTGGGACTCTATAATGGGAAGACATGTTTTGAGCAGTCAAATTCCCAGACAAATGCAGAAAGACTGGATCTCAGAGGTGTGTTAACATACTTTGGGGAAATTATGTTCACACTCTGCAGAAATGGCAGTATCTCCACTAGCAGCAGCCTCAATGATTTAACAAACAAAATTCTTTAGTCCAAAGAGATACAATCAATAAGTACTGTGATCTATCTGAAAATCTCCCTCATCTTTGAGCTAGAAAGTAGGTGTGTAGCAGTTTATGAAGACCAGTAACTCATTCAGAGGTTTTAAATTTCCTTTTAGCGAAAGCAAGTGTGCAGACGACTGACACTTCCTGCAAAATTTACTGCATTATTTCTGTGACCACACATGGATGCAGGGTTGAATAAACAATAAATAAATGTACCTTCACGACTTCTGTTCTACACAGTTCATTGGTCCTGGCAGCTGAGTGGCTGTCAGCGTAACATGACTCTGGAAGCAGACAGGTTCCTGTCATGATGAAAGTGATCTCACTTCTCCCTGTCCATTCACATAAAGCACCGCTACTGTGTTGTCTCTCATCACCTGTCTTGCATTGCTGTGGGTCAGTGGCAGAACTGATCACAAAATATGCAAATTACTTTGAGCTCAAAAATGTCTTGGTACGGTAAGACTCATTTCTTGACTACTACTAAACCCAAATACAGCCTCATGTGTTCTTGTCTTCCAAGGATGGAAGCGGGTATCCTCTTGTTTTTTTAGGTAGGTAAAACTAGAAGAACATCTCTGCAAGAGATGGCCAAGAGTCCATCTCCCATGAAACAGAAATACACACTGAAGGGAGTTTACAAACTTACCAATATTTAAAGAGAACAAAGAAACTTTTGCATTTCAACTGAGCAAAGTAACTTTTGCTCTTCAAACAAATTAGTAGCATTCCTAATATATTCTTTTTAAAAATTATCAAAAGAAAGCATGCTGAAATAGTAATTGAATAAGCATTCTACAGCATGCTTCGAAATCCAACACTTTAAGCTGTTATACACGGGGGAGTGTGAGGAGAAACGTATATCATAAACTCAAATACAGATTTACAAAGTGTGTGCTGCTAAAACATATATATGGACATGGACATGATGTCCACAAGACCTCAGAAACAGCACTGAACTTTCCATACAATATGCTAAAATCAGACACTTGGCTAAATAAAGACAGAGGTAAGAGCAAGAGTACTATGGCTGGATTAGTTCAATCTTCTAAGCAGAAAACAAATTCTGTTTTCTATTTTCTATTTCAAAAATAAATACACGATCAAGTATAACTGCAAGCACCAAAAGAGATAAATAATAATTTCTCTTGATGTTATCACTCTGTTATGGTAAGCTTATAGCAATAGTATACATGAGCCTGAGAGTCACAAACAAATGGTCTGAGGTGTATTTAAATCACCATTAAGAGTTTCACCGCAGCATACACAGACATACCTAAAATAGCCTTAGCCTGGCTAACATAGGTAGTCATGCTGAATCAGCAATGTCCATACAAAGTTACTTAGATGCTATGCTTCTGAGGACATGCAAAACTCAGAAAGTTTATTTTGCTAGTTTAGTTCTCTTACCTTGCTTTGTTCTCTACTTCAAGGCACAGTGGTTTCATCTTGGCTTCTTATCTTCAGGTCTCAAAATGCAGAAAGTTTAATACAGAAGCAGAGATGCTTGTTTCTCATTGTAAGACAAAGCTGAATGAGTCTCCAGGATGTTTTTTCTCAGCAGGGCTTCTTTATAGAGCAGCATTCTGCTTCTCACAGCACTGCAAAAGTAACAGCAACCATATGTATACAGATTGTATCCCATAGAGCCTTGTGATTCCCATTCTGTAAACGCAGCAATAACATAGAGGTTAAATAATTTGAAGAGAGAGATTCATTACCAGCCTGTGAAAACACAGAACTTAATTGCAGGCCCGCCCCTCATTCTTATGAAGCTTTTACTCAAAAGCTTCAAAACATAAAAACTGAATGTATCCTTGTAAATACTACTAACTACTCCAAGTATTTCAGGCAGTTGAATTAAGGACAATGACTCAAATGCGGCATCATGACCTCTAAGATACTTTGCTGGTACTAACAGACTAAACGATCTCTGTCAAAGTTGGCGCAACCTGCCTGGAGTTCAAAAATAAAAATTAAAAACAAAAAAAAAACCCACAAAGAAACAAACAAAATAAAAAACAAAAAACCCTTTTGGAGGGTTTCCTATCAGCCACACAGGCCCTCTCAAGTCCTCCTTCTCCGCTACCATCTCTCAGATTCCTGCCCTCCTATGGCACAAGGCCGCATTTATGAAGAATAAGCAACACGTGTGGTAGCCATATACAATGTAGACTATTCTCTTCAATTTTATAATCTTGAATTTCAGTTCTGCCATGACTTGCATGTGATGATCCTTGTGGGTCCCTTCCAACTGAGAAAAAATGCCTTTTGATTATTCCATTTGGACTAAATAATTTTACATCTATTATCCATGGAAAAAGATTTCCTCAAAGGCCTAGGAAAATCTTTACTCCAGATGTAAGTGAAGGGCTACAATAAATAAGTAAAACCACACACAGAGGCCAGTCGAAAAGGCACAAAGGACAACTTGAGTTGTGAATACCTTGGGAGATTTAACGTGAACTACAAAGAGGATAAAATCACTTTAAAAAAAAAAAACAACAAAACTATTACTAAGTAATTGTAGTTAATAGCACTTAAAATTACAGTTCCTGTGAGTTGCTACTTCTTCTCCATCTCCTCTCCCTTGTATAGATCAAACAATCAGTATTTTCACTACTGAATTCCATGCTGAATTTCATGAAGCACATGCACTGCAGACCAGGTCAAGAACAGCAGGGCAGAGGGAAGGAAGTAGGAAGTCAGTCTTGTCACTTCCTTCTCATCTTTGACATTGGGACTCAGAAGAGATTATTGGTCTGGTAGCTAATTTGGTTTTAAAAATTGTTCTTATTATTTGATGTCATTGAAATGTGCAACATTTCTTGCCATTCAGCTGGTTTTATTAATTGTTAACTCTGGAAATATCTTCTCAGCATGAACACATTTTTCTATTAAGTCACTTGGGAAGTTTATTTCTTCTGTCATTACATCAGATCATTATTTTACAGTTACAAACAGATTGCTATCAGCCTTCAGAGGCTTTAAAAATAATACAATATGGTTCCTAGCACTTCCAAGCAGACTGAGAAATGCCACCCACACAATTAGCAACACTTTTTTTTTTTTTTTTTTTTAAACACAGCAAGCAAGATTCTTTCTCCAGATGTTACGGACTTAATTCTACAGTAAAGAACTGGCACAGATCAGATTCACTAATGCACTAAGCCATGAAACTTCTGCACTGAAATTTACAGAAAATCTGCAATGCCTTTACTGCTTACTGGAGAGAAATACGATCACTTCAAATATTTCTCAGGCTATCTGATACAGGGCACTTCGTTAGTATGTTTCTACAGCTGTACTTAACAACGTGCTCTTATTACTAACAAGAGTAGGCATTATATAATATTGCAAAGCTATACCTCAAGGAGTGAAGAGCCTAGACCTGTAACCATACAGTGTTGCTGAGACAGTTGCATATGCTCCATGGCTTTCCACTGCACTGTACTACAAAGAGAAGGAAGATATTCCACTTGTAACCAACTCTCATGGCACGCATGGGGAGGGTCTGGAAGTTGTTAGCATCAAAGGTGAAACCATCTTCTAGTTAAAAAAAGATTAATTGATTTGAACAGCTAAAGAATCAGCAGCATTATACCTGAGGGACACACTGAGCATTCCTGATTTATAAATAATAAGAATTCCTAGAAGGAAAGGTTATCTGCTTTTTTTTTTTCCTGCCTAATAGTGGCCACACTCTTGGCTGACATTTGAACAGCTGTCAGATCACCTAAGTAAATGTATTAAAATTTAAAAACAAGCCAAGGTTAACTTTCCTAATACAATGGGTTCTCAATGAACAGAGCAGGGTCTTATGATGTAAAATTTGGAACTTATGCAAGAAAATAACTGCTTATGTGCAATGAAAATGAGCGCTCGGAACAGCCAATCCTGGATGTGAGCAATAATCTAGCAGTAAGAGTTACCTGTGAGCTTTCTTTAAGAGAGAATCACTCTTTTGCATTATCACCACTGCTGAAACATGGGGTTTGTTCATTTCCCCAGTGAACCAACATAAGTGAGAAAATACCTGCTTGCGTTCCTGGTTTCTGCTGAGCTGCAAGCTGCTAACACATATTTTTAGGCAAAGACAGAAAAGTACTGTTCCAAAAACCACAGAACTGATTACTGGACTTGTGACATTACAATTGTTTTGAAAAGAAACAAACTACTACTTTTAATAATTAAAAGCCCTTGCAAACTCATTACAATTAAAAATGAGCCATACATTCTGCTCAGCTTGCAGAAGCCTTGAGAAATCAAATAAAACATCAATGTCTGTCAAAGGTTGTAATGATGTCAAATATTTTACTACCGAAAATAAATTTTCTTCTGTATTACTGTGTTCAGCTTGAGCATGCTTTCAAATAAAGACAGTCAGAACCAAAAAAATTCAGACACCTGTACAGGCATGGAAAGACTTCTAGATGAGAGACACTACATGACATGCCACTGGGGAGAAAGTAGTTGTGAGTTTCTGTTATCCTTGCAGTGCAAACTTGAAGGAAGATGCCATAAAAAATGAACGCCAATCATTAGAGTTATGATACTCCCCCTCTCTTTCAGTGCATTAACCGTCACTGGAACTGGAACTCAAATTCACAACACATCTGATACTAAGAGATTAAACAAAGTAGACAGACAGACAGCTCTGGAATTTTCCAAAATGCCTATGACATGATGCAAAATTCTCACCAAAACATACATAGAAAATTATTAAGAAATATTGTTTTAAACATTCACAAAAGGTAAACACCATGAACTGCTAAAGAAACAGTTATTCTTGCCAAGAAAATATCCTACTCCATCTGCCCTGCACATCAAAATAGTGTCTAATATAAGGTGCAGCATTCCCCATGATATAACTTTGAACACAGACTTAAGTCTTCAGTGGTAAGAACTTTTAAAGATCTCCATCGATCCCTAGTCAAAAGAGCTAGAAATTTTGATCAGTCTGATTGTATCTATTCAGACTCACATATTCAGTTCATGTAGTCAATCGCTGCAAGCAGAACATGAACCTAAATAGCTTATTACTATCACCTTGATCTTTTGAATTTTTAATCAACTAAACGTAATTCTGTCAAAATTCCTACATCACTACTTGAACTGGCAACAAACCAGCTCCTGAACATGGTTGTAAGAGTAACTTCTTGGTCCAAAGACTGCTTCAGGCTTGAGACAGAAATTATACAATGGTCACACTGAATTAGCAGTTGTCATAGGGATGTTGGAGACCATTATTCCCTGTGTGCACATGCAATCCCTACTAGCATTAATGGGGTTACCAAACACATTGAGAGGAAAGCTGGCCCCATTATGTGAACACTGTTGAAAAGATTAACTGATTTTTCATGCTAGATGGATAGAATGGAAATTTTCAACACTGATTCATTGAAGAGTAGAGGAACACATACTGCTATTAAATGAATTTGTGACACAGAAAGGGACTGAAAGCTTGCTTTTCAAAACATGGGGCTACAAAGACCAATCTCATACCCTAGGAATCCTTGCCTTCAGTATTTGGAAAAAACTACAGGTCTGCAAATGAGGATATATGGACCTGATCCAGATTTCTGCCATGGATGTGAGCATGATTAACAATACAACTTAATCTCTCTAAGGAACATTTATACCATCTAATGTAGGAGCCACCTGCAACAGGTGACCAAATTGTAAATCTGCATTCCCCATACAGTCAATGAAGCCTTTAGAAGACACACAAATCTAGCTTTACTACTCTCCACTGAATATTTAAGTAGCCCCAGTCTGCTGCTGGAGATGCTTAGAGATAAATGGTTGTTTCCACTAACAGTTAAGTATGCACTGTCTTTTCAAATCTACTGGTGGAAAAGACATTAAATATCAAATGAAACATACATACAAACAAGGAAACACTAGACTATTGCCCTTTTGAGTAAAGGTAAAACAGAGATGTCAGGCCTACACAGGGCCACCCTTCGTGGTGAATTAAACTGGAAATTATCTGCAGAGAATTCTCACCCCAAGTTTTTGTAGCGAAGAGTTAAAGCAAGCACAGAAGATAGGCAAGTCCGAATGCTGAAAAACAGACACATGTAATCTGCCTCCCTGGAACATCCAACAGATCTGTAAAGTCCATGGAGCAGTGTGACCATTTAGAAGCGCTGTAGTCACCTGGCAGAAGTGGGCAGGGAAGAGCTCAAAAAATGCAACGTGTGTGATATGAACAGGTCGGCGGAGCAACGAGAAGGAAGACACTTCTCAAAGAACCTTCTAAGGGAAAACGAGGTAAGAACCTTCTTGGGGTTCAACCCCTACAATTCTGTGATTCTGAGATTCCAAGGAGTAGCTGAGGCACTCAGAGCTTGTCCTACGCAGGTCTGAGACAACTCTTGTGACTGATTGTTTCTAACTTGCATGCCTTCAGCAGTGATGAAATACTGCAGTCCTGTCTCTTGTAAACAGTTGTGACTTTCGTAGGAACAATTATTAAAAAAGAGATAATAAATATACAAAAATATGTATCTGTACACACATACATACACATATTTAATGTAATTTCCCCCATTCAGAACTTTGGCTCATCTTGTCACAAGAGGGAAAAAAACAATTCAAGATTTTGACTCTGAAATAGAAGTTCTATTCAAAAGAATGAGATAAGGAAAATACCTGAGTTTAAACATGCCATGTTTTTCAGGAGTTTGATATTTCCATGTTGCTTGCTGAAAGAAAATTGAAGCCAGTGGCACCAAGAGGAAAATTTTCCAAATCCACAGCAGGATAAAGAAGTTCTTTGTGTAGAACACTGAATAGAAATTCAGCTCCTCCTGCAACAACAGACTTGCTCTTCTTCCTGTCAGTTGCAGAAGAAATGATGGCAACTGAAGAAGTGCAAAATTAAATGTACATAGAATTAGTTCAAGAACAGACAGTTCAGGGGCCAGCAACACTGCAAAGCATTATGCATTTCCAGAACAGTTTTTAAAGGTAGTAAACTTCTTCCCTTATGTCCCTCCAACTAAAATGCAATTAAAGGTAGCAACTCAAAACCAAAAAAAGTATGTCCAGTGGTAATCAGTCCCTAAGTCAGTCCTTACTTGGTCACTTTTTACTTACCTTCAACAGTTTGTCTCTTATGACATAATAATAATGGGATGAGGATAGTAAGGACCCAACCAAGCTGATAGCCATTCTATAGTAATTAAAGGGCTAATCAATAAACTTGGCTATCTGCAAAAAAAAACTTGATTCCAAAGTACAAAGGTTGAGGCATTGAAAGAAAACTTAAACCTGGGCTTTGAAATTTAAGGATCTGCATGCAAATTATTCTGCATGTTTGCAGATTTTACTATAAGCTTTCAGGTAAATGAGTGAATTATTAAAGGCTGCAAAATAACCATCCTGAAAACCCAGAAACGTTCAACTCAGACTAGATACTGAGACTACATAATCTTATTTCTCTGTGTCACTGCCAGCTTGAGGAACCTCTGCAGACAATGGCAGAGACATAATCACATGACTATTAGCACCCTGATGGAAACCAGTGATTTACGTTTATCAAATCAGAATCTGGGATTTGTCAAAAAAAAAATATCTGGGAACAAAAACAAAAACAAAAGCAGTAAAAACAGATCCTACTTTCAATATTAAACTTACCAGTGACGCACAAGAGACCAGGCATTATTTGACGATTCACCTGTGTTGGGCCAACAGACTATGTACAGACATAATTCAAGTCAAATCCAGCAACTGGAGAAAGTTTGACTATTAAATCTTGTCATCAAATATGCAGCATAGATAGAAGGCTACATTTGGTCCAGTAGGTTAATTATGCATCCAGCAATTTGCGATCAAGAAATTATTAAAAGATTATTCCCAGGAAAAAAAAAAAAAAAATCAATTGCTAAAGCAGTCACTACAAATCCCTGCTATTGTTCTTATTCAAGCATTACTGCTATCAAAGCTCACTGGCAGTGAGGCACTTCATTTTACGTTTACCTTTCTTTCTTCTTGGATATGGTTAAACTGTGCATATGTAAATAGAAAATGCTTTCAAAATATGGGCACTTCACATACTGTTCATCTAACCTGCACTCCTGTGCCACCTCCAGCTGCTTGCACCTTCAACTGATAGAAAGCTAGAGAAAGTGGGATTTTTTCCAGACCCTCTATCTTCATCTCTAAAGAGCTTGACAGAGAACAACAGATCAACTTAATTTACCTGAATTTGAAATCTCTGGTCTCCTGTTTCGCTTCTTTGCTTCCTTCTATCATCATGCAGACCAGAAACAGCCCTGAAATCCAAGAATTACCACTCAAAGGTCTGCCAAAGAACCTGGACAGCAGCAGACCTAACACATGGCAGAGCAAAGTGTGTTTTGGGTGTTTTAGCTTGTCTTTTCATTCAGTTAGAGAATATTGTAAGACACACTGTTCCAATCCAAATTTATGCCCAATTCTCACCCACACACACAACAAAGAATAAAAGTGATCACTGATACAGCTTCTGGGCAGACATTAAATTAAAAACAAAACAAAAAACAAACACACACACACAAAAAAAAAACACCAAAAAGGCCAACAAATAAATAAAAAATAAATAAGCAAGCAAATAAATAATAGACAAACCCACCCCAAATTCCTCACTAAGGGGCAGTGAACACACCAGTATTTAGCTCCTGACACTCCCTTGATTACATTTTCTCACTTCATCAAGCAATATCTTCCACTTGGATTCAGCACAGGGTTATTGAACTGAAGAGGAAAAGAGAGTTCAAGGACAGAAACAGCAAGCAGGAAGTGCCTTACAATAAAGGCAAGCTAGTTTTCAAAAAAAAAACAAAAACAAAACCAAAACACTGACATATCTCAAAACCCAAAAATAATAGGATGTCTTCAATGCCAATTTTTGTTGCAGGGTTTACTCAAGGCTGAAAAATGAGCTACTCATCTCTCCTCGTCTCTGCCTGAGTTCATAACAGGGGCAGTATGTGGGAAAATCCTTAGCTTTACTTTTCTTACCTTTCTCAGTTCTTAATCCTTTCTTCTCCATGAGGTACAGGCTAGATGCTGACTCAAGGTGCCCCCAGAGGACATCTGAATTGAAGATTCCGCAGCATTGGATGCATCCTCTGTCAGATTTATTTCTCACACTGTCCTATACAGTAGAAAATTGTTGCTCGGTGATGCTGGATTTGGATGTTAAATGTCCTCAAAATATATTTGGGCAGCACCCAACATTTCCTATTTTTCACATCAAATAATATAATCTTAAATCAAACAAGATTAAGCCATTAAGCCAACTTGCTCTGTCAACAGCTACGGTGCACACAGTCCTCAGCCCTCTGTTCTATGCAGTGTGATTGGACACATCACCTTCAGCCTACGCTGGAAGCAAGCCAAAAGTAGTTTTGTTTGCCCATTCCACTATTTTCTCCAATCCACAATGATATATGAAAATAAGGCTCATTTTTACCAGTTGTATTAGGGAGGTATTACGGTCAGCAAACATTAAACATTTCACATTACGAATGTATTGTTTTGGCTGGCCCTGATTTTTCATGCGCCAACACACATGCCACACAGCAGCCTGCTGGCTATCCTGCTAACTCAGCACAAAGCACACTGTAAAGCTCAGCTCTGCCACATGGACCAGCATTACTGCATGCCCTGTCTGAGGTGGTTGCAGTTCTGAGCACACTACAGTCAGCAGGGCTATGGTTATGCATCACTGTATTGGGGTATACTGTGCTGTATTGGGGTCAGACTTCACCTTCCAACACATCCAGATTTCTAGAGCGACTCTATGAAAAGTAACTTGCAGATGTTTCAAAGCTTCCATCCCAAACCCTGTAATTCTATTGCCTTACAGTTTCTCACAAGATACTTATCACTAAATCCCAAGGCACGGATGACACACAGCCACAGCACTGTGCGTTTATTCCAAACCTGTCACTGCCATGTACACAGACCTGGAGATGTAGGTAGCAGCTGTCTGTAATGGGACACCATTACTTTATGAGATCTTCATTCTGCTACAGTTACCACACAGAGCACTAGAAGGAAATTAACTTGCTGTGTAGTTTGCCTTTTCTGAACTTGGATTTTCTGGTTTTAGGATTGCAATCCTTACTCCTCCGAGAATTATTAGCACATTGTTCATAGCCTGGAAAGCATGAAACACCTGGCACAGGAGAAACAATCAAGCACACTGTACACAATATTCTAATACAACAGGTCAGAGGCGGCCTCTCACCTTACTGCTACACAAAGGAAAATAAAGCAGTTGTAAACCCTACATCATAACGTATTTTTTACATCAGTGGGAAGCCTGCAGGAAGACTGCTATCAGTCCACCAGGTGCAATCAATACTTGCCACTGTTCTTAGCATGAATTTGTTTTCTTTCTAACCAGCATCCTTTCTTTCCCTGCACAAATGTTTTGCTTCAGCAAAAACATTACAAGCAAGAATTTAAGTCCGTCTTACAAGAAAAGGAAAAGTAAATTATAAATGATGCCATTGTCTAATTCTCACCAAAATCTGCAGAAAGCACTCCAGTGGTCGAAGGGACTGAGATACTGGATCTCCAGTAACAGGTTCTTTTCTCACTTTGCTCCAATGTCTTTTAAATGTCCTAGTATGTAAGAGCCATAATGCCTATCTCTTTAACTAGTGCCCCCAGGGGAAAAGAGAAACCACCGCCATCGCTTTCTGGAGAAGGCATTTTCCTTGTTTTTCACACTGAGGACCTGAAGATTTGTACTTCCCTCACAACTCCCTCCATCGCCTCTCTCACACAACTAAAGCTACATGGGATAAGTGGGAGAAGCCCCCACCACTGGCAGAATTGGTGCTGTTGTGGTAGCACGCATTCGAAACCTACACTTCCTCTAGAGCTGAAGAAAAGGAACACCAGGACAGAAACAACTCTCAGTAATAGCATTTCTACTCTAATAGCAACGCAGTAGTAAAGTTTAAGAAGGATATAATTTCTTTCCTATCCCATGTTTCTCTAAATTGCCTGAAGCCTGTACACATGGAGAGGAATAGCCACATTCTCCATTTTGAGATGTACGTAAAACAGAATCAAAACTGATATTCAAATCTAAGACTTGAGTAGTAGACAGTGAGGTTTTTGAGTTTCCCGCTCAGACAAAATGATTTTTCATTGCTGTGTTTAAATCTAGTTCTTTCATGTTCAGATCTGCTCATTTTGCTATGTATTACAGGAGAAACTATATGGAACTTAACGTGGACAGAGAAAAGACGTTTTTATGAACATCTGCATCTGCCTCTGATTTAAGACTGGATTGGGGTAGTAGAGCTGTAACATGAACTCAGCTCTCATTCATTCAAATAAATGTGAGAGGGGAAATCTGAGTATAAGATAAACCAGTGTTTTTCAAAAGCTGTTGCTGCAGGAACTTTGACATTTATAGGTATAATATCCTTCCTGCTGTAAGTCCCTAACTCAATGCTCTATGTCACTTAGCCATCTCCAGTAACCAGGTCATCAGTGAACTGAGGTAAGAGCATTTCTTCACAGGCACTTTGTTATGTTTTGCAAAAGATTAAGTACAATATGACTCTGACAGTGAAATTAATTCCAGCCCTATTTCTTACTACGTTGTAATGAAAACAACTTAAACGTGGAAAATGTCAGGTAACTGTCAGGCTCCATTTAACTACCACGTTTCACCTGTGAGGTGACATCATTTGGATAAGCAGATGGTGTTGCTACAGGGTTGCAATCATTAGTAGAAGTACACATTTGACTCTGAAAATGGAAGCTGTAAGATTAGATTTAATATTTAACTAGATTTAAAATTTAGCATTTCAGGAAGCAACACCATACTCAAGCTAAATCTTAGTTTGCTTCATTCCTCCATCAGCAACATAGTTTTGCTGTCAGGGTTGCCTAAATTCCTAAGTATTAAGCAAAAACTTAATCCTGCTACCCAATTCATAGTACTTTTTACAAGTATTTGTACTCCTATTTCCTTTGCTCCCTCCCCTGAAATACCTGTGACAGTGAGTGTACAATTTCTGTTACTTCACCAGATCACTTATGTAGCTCGAATCTTCTAAAATAAACTGTCATGCTGTTTCAGGAACAAGAATGTCACTAACCAGCTAAATTAAATTGTCAGTGTTATTGTAAAAGCCAGAATGGAGTAAAGAAACAGTGTTTTGCAGCTGAGAATTTGTTCTCGCACTCACTGTATCTGTTGTAATCTGCTTATAAGTAAATAGGAGGCATTACTTTCAGAGCAGCCTACACATACTAGAGTGAAATAAATATGCATTCTTTTAACAAGAAATGTATACTTAAAGGAAGTATTTCCATCACAGAAGTCATCACACAAACCACTCTTCGAGAAGTTAACTTCTGATATACATAGAGAGAGGTATGCATATATATATTACTATCATGACATGCCTGTTTTATTGGTTTTTTTAATCTGGAGCACCAGTTGCCATGCATTACAACCACAAAAGCTTTTCTTTGTGGTTACTAAGCATTTCACACTTAGAGCAAATAAGAGCCACCGATTTGTTTCAATACTCAATGTCATCATCTTTGAGGCAGCCTCCACCTTTTCAAAGGTATTTCCTCAAAACGTTACAACTGTTAGAATCACATATGCTGTTCACTGGAAAAAGTGTCATAAAACATCCCAGTCTCAAATAAACAGCTCAGACCTTCTGCAGCGAAGGTCTCTGTGTTCAATCAATGTTCAAATCAGCAAGTTGCCAGCTAAGTTTGTTTCCAAATCTTCTTTCAAGTTCTGTGGAATTTTGAGAGTCCCCATGCCTTCCCTCAGAGAGCCATTTCATTTGCCTTACACCTGGCAGTGATCATTTCAATAACACACGTGAAAGCACGCATAGCTGCATGTAAGTAGAACCTTCTTGCAACATACAAAGCCCAGCGTCTGGGCACGGAAGTTCTTACTACTACAGCAGAGACAAAGCAGCACAATTAGTCCCGATGATACAGCTGTGCCTAGCAAGCAGGTATCTTTCCAACTTGCTCCAGATTATTACTACTGACAGACTTGTAGCACTTTGTACTAAATAGTAGTAAATAGAGAGATAGATAAAGCGAGGAAACAGCTTCAGACTACTCACACAAAGTCATACAGAGAAATTTAAAAATCTCAATCTCATATTAGATCTGCAACAATCAAGTGTAAATAGCAAATAACATTACGTTTCTAAACCACCTCACAGCATTCCTCCAGGAGATGGTTTGTGCATAGTTCATGTAATCGTCAGCAATGAAAGAAGCAGCACCCTATAGGAAGAAGCCTAACTGTAAAAGCCAAGTTAATGAATGCATACACATTGAGATTCCTCCCCACTCCTCTCAGAGGCAACATTTCCTGCTCTTACAATTTTATCACAAGTCTCACTACTTCTAGTGCCTTCCTTAGAGCCCCTGCTGCTGGAATCATGCCTAAGAGTCCCTAGCGTTAATATTAAAGAAAAGATTTCCACCCCCTTGCATCCTCAGAAAAGCTTGAAAGTGTGAAACAAGCACACCTTACAGGCTGAATGCCTACAAAGAGCACAAGAAATTCAGGGTGGACTGTTTTGTGTTTAGTTCAAAAATAAAAAAATAAAATAAAATAAAATAAAACCCGCTGATTCCTTGAGTGGCAGGAGCCAGACAGCACAGCTACTGCTCATAACTGCCTGTTCTCTGGCATCTTGCCTGAGCAGATGGAGGCACATCAGCAGTTTTACATGGAAAAAAATGCAATGTCACTTTCACTGCTCCATCGATGCAGTAACTATTCTTACATTTCAGAACGTAATTCCAGCTTCTCTTAAAAGTCATACTTGAAAGAGAATGCTTCACCTTTTGACCTATGAAGGAACATTATTTCATGGACAAACTATTTTTCAAGCACAATTTTTTTTTTCTAAAGCTAACTTCTCTACAACTAAAAGCACCCCGTTACAACTAGAAGCACCTGACAATGTAATTATAATAATGAATAATTATAGATAATGAAGTACATTACCTACAGGAGAGATGTACATGCACATTAAGAAGGAGCATAGCGCCAGACTTTCTTAGGGAAAGGTGATGGCTTTACATCCATATCCCTTGAAGCAGCTCTTCACTGTTAAATACGCATGCAGATGG